ACAAAATTGTTTTGTCTTGGAAAATATACTTTTCATTAAAAAAGTGTTATCTATTAACATGTAATGGGTTTTTTATTGTTACTTTTAAATGAATTACTAAATATTTTTTAATTTCTCAGTTTCAGTTTCTAGTAAGGTAAATATTGACAGATATAATGCACATAAACAACAGTTCTCTGGGTCTCTCAGTAATTTTTAAGAATGTAAAGAGGTCCTAGGACCAAACAGTTTGAGAATTGCTGCTGCAGAGTTTCTTTTAGTAAGAGTCTCCTGGTGGCAAATCCTCCGATTTTGCTTGCCTGAAAATGTCTTTATTTCATCCTTATTCTTGAAGGATGTTTTCAAAGACAAAAGTTATTTTTCTTCTGCACATCCATGATGTCACTCTACTGTCTTCTAGATTTTATCATTGCTGTTGAGAAGTCAGCTATCATCTGTTTCTTCTTTGAAAGTAATTGTTCTTTTTTCCTTCCGGCTGCTTTTCAGACTTTCCCTTTGTGATGTTTTATAGTTTCACTCTGATGTGTCTAGGCATAGATTTCTTTTTATTTATCTTGCCTGGGATTTGTTGGGCTTCTTAAGTCTGTGGATTGGTATCTTTCATCAGTTCTGTAAAAGTCTCGTATATTCTTTAACATTTTGCCTCTGCCCCCTTCTCTCTCTAGAACTATGGTTAAGGGTGTACTCATTAGATCTTTTTAAACAGTTTTATTTATTTATTTATTTGTGAGGAAGATCAGCCCCGAGCTAACATCTGTGCTAATCCTCCTCTTTTTGCTGAGGAAGACCGGCTCTGAGCTAACATCTATCGCCAATCCTCCTCCTTTTTTTTTCCCCCCAAAGCCCCAGTAGATAGTTCTGTTATAGTTGCACATCCTTCTAGTTGCTGTATGTGGGATGCAGCCTCAGCACGGCCGAAGAAGTGGTGTGTCGGTGCATGCCCGGGATCCGAACCCGGGCCGCCAGTAGCGGAGCGCGCACACTTAACCGCTAAGCCACAGGGCTGGCCCACATTAGATCTTTTTATTGTATTCTCTCTGCCTCTCCGGGCTACATTCTAGATAATTTCTTCTGTCCTATTCAGTTTATAGTTCTCCCATCCATTAAGTTTTAATTTCTAATTACTGTATTTTTCATTTCTAGAAGATCTGTTGGTTCTTTTCAAATCTGCTAGGTTACTCTTTATAATCTCCTATTACCTGCAGATAATTTCAAACTTTGCCTTTTTTTTAAACACTCTAAGCAGCGTTGTTTTATAGTTGATAATTCTGGTATCTGTGGTCTTGATGGGTCTCTTTATACTGTCTGTTATTTCTTCTGCTTCTCCCTGATGCTACCTGGCTTCCTTGTGTGTTTGGTTATCTTTGATTATGTGGTGCTTTTTTTCTTAAGTAATTATTTGTATTAATAATATGAAGCCTAGATTTTAAGTTATTTCCTCTCAAGATGATTAGTATTAAGTACGTGGGCACATTACAAGTCCAAATTATTTTAAATATAGTGTCCTGGACCACTAGAGCTGAGAACTCCTGAGATTCTGATCCATCCTACCTAATCTGTGTAGCCTGTTGGGAGCCTTAATGTGGGAAGGGAGTTCTTTTAGACTTTCCCCTTTGGCAGGCCCTGGGCCTTGAAACCTGTCCTTTATCAGAACCAGAGATCGGGTTCACCTTATGCACAAGTGCCCTCAGGGCAGAACATCTGTGTTCTGCTTACCTCTCAGAATTCCTTTTTTCCTTTAGTTTTGGTTCCAGCACCCATGTTTTAAACCACGATGGGAAACTTCCCCTAAAAATAGAGTATTTTAAAAATTTAACCATAAAAACAGGAAGAGCTTGCCCCATGGATATAAATGCCATGGTCAGAACTTTGAACCCCCACCTCATATGTCAGGCGAAACTCATTCAGTAAGCAGTAAGAGGCACTCTAGTGTAGTTAAGATCACGGGTGCTGAGGAGCCGGCCCCGTGGCGTAGCGGTGAAGTGCGCGCAGCGCTGGCGGCCCGGGTTCAGACCCCGGGCACGCACTGTCGCACTGCTTGTCAGGCCATGCTGTGGCGGCGTCCCATATAAAGTGGAGGAAGATGGGCACAGATGTTAGCCCAGGGCCAGTCTTCCTCAGCAAAAAGAGGAGGATTGGCATGGATATGTTAGCTCAGGGCTGATCTCCTCACAAAAAAAAAAAAAAAAAGATCACGGGTGCTGAAATCAGGCTGCCTGGGTTTAGTCCTGGCTCTACCACAGAGCAGTCTGTGAATCTGTGCAGGGCACTTGACCTCCTGTGCCTTGGTTTCTTCATCTTCAAAGGGAGAGTGATAACCGTGCTTGTTACCTCACTTGGTTCTTATGAGGATCAAGTGAGGTAGGGAAGTACACATTTAGCACAGTGCCTGGCATGCAGTTGACTTTCAGGCGCTTAGAACAGTTGAGTACTTAGTAAGTATTTGAAAAATATTCATCATTAATCATGTTAAACATTTATTGAGTGTCTCCTGCACCCACAGCCTGTGTTAAATTCTTGGTCTTTGGCTGTGTTCAGGTTAGGAAGGCAATCACACTTGAATGAAACAAGTGGAGAGGAATTAGACAGTATTAATTATTTGCTTATATACTGATGGAATTTTTGAGATAATTTAATGTATTATAAACTTCTAATCAGAATAGCTAAGAATCAATGCTTTTTAGTGGAAGTGGTTTCTAGCACTTTGAGAAAGTGGAACTATGCAGGCTGGTAACGATGATGCATGGGGGTGTCAGTAACAGCCATGACATATATATACTGCTGGTGCTAACACTTCACAGTTGTACATGTTTCTGACATGTTGCTCTATATCCAGGTTCTCACTGTAACCCTCCAAGGCAGCTGTATGTATCTACACTTTGTTATCAGAAAAGCCAGGCCTGGAAGGTTAAGTGTGGAATAGTAGAAAGAGATGGGTTGGTGTACTCACTTTAGAGAGCAGTTTGGGATTCCTAGTGAAAGTGACAATGTGCATACCCTGTGACCCAGCAACTTTTATTTCTAGGAATATAGCCGGGGGAGATTCTTGAACAGATTTACAAGTTAACGTGTAACATTTATGAGGTAACATGTCCTACCCTCAGTAGGGCAATGGGCAAAAACCCTTTGATCTATTCATACTATGGAATACTACATAACAATTAAAATAAGTGATATAGGTCTATATGTATCAACATGGACAAGAGACATATGGTCAAGAGACATAAAACTAAGTGAGCAACTAGTAGAGAAATGAGCTCTGGGGATCTAATGCACAGCATAGAGATTATAGCCAACAATACTGTGTGGTAAACTTCGTAGTTGCTAAAAGACTAGGTCTTAACTGTTGTCAACACAAAAAAGAAATAATTATGTGACATGATAAGGGTGTTAGCTAATGCTACTGTAGTAATCATATTGCAGTATATAAATGTATCAAACCAACACGTTGTACACCTCAGACTTATACAATGCTATATGTCAATTTATCTCAATTAAAAAAGCTAAGTGAGGAAAGCTAATTGGAAAGGATAAATATAGTGAGATATTGTTTATATAGTTGAAACACATATAACAGTAATACAGTATATATTATTTATGGGTATGTACAAAGGCAGAAAAAGTAGAAAGAACAAAAATACAAAAACAAACCTGCTAACTTTAGGACAGGAGTTACTTCTGGGGGAGGGAGGGGGAAAGATCTGAAGCAACATGGCGAAGGGCCAATGCCTGTTTACCTCGAATTGTTACCAAAGCTATCTGTTACATTGTCTTCTCGATGCTTGAAATGATATATAATTTTTTTTAAGTACAGAAACTTAAAAAAGAAGAAGAAGAAAGAGTTTGGGAATCAAATAGACCTTGGTTCAAAGCCTGCCACCCATGTACCCAAATTCCTTTCTCTCTCTAATCCTGTTTCCTCATCTAAAAAATGGAATCACCATCACTTCTTTGACATTGTCTTGAGGACTAGATGAGATGGTATATTAAAGTGCCTAGTGTAATATCTAACTACTGATAGGTGCTCAGTTAATGGTATTTTTAGGTGACTTGCCCAAGGCCACACGGCTGGCTTGTGGCAGGTCTAGGATTTGAACTCAGATACCCTCTGAGTCCCGTGCTTCTTCCACCGCATGAGTTCTATGAGTAAGATATTGTTGATGAAGAGACAGCTCTAATTATCAGTTGGTAACATCACTAGGAAAGGAGCTGGAGCTGCTGTTTTTCTCCCAGGGACCACGCCTCACTCCTGCTACTTAACCTTTCTCCCCAACTCTTCTGAGAATCTTACATCTTTAATGCCTGGCCATCAAGCCAAATCCAGAAGCGAGGAAGTCTGGCATTCAGAGTACTAAGAAGAGGAAACTGGAATTGAGAAAGAGATATCTATGAACTTCATTTAAGTTACTGTGTCCATGGTAGGCTCGGTTAACTTGCAGTTATTAACAACCCCAGAATCTCAGTGGCCTCCAACAACAAACGTTTCCTTCTCGCTCCTACGACACGTCCATCATAGCTCTGCCCACGTCCTCTTCCCTGAGTGTGAGGTGAAGGAGCAGCCCCTTCTCCGGGGACATTAGAGGACTCAAGGCAGACTGAAAAGGGGAAAGCTCGGTGTTGTGACGACCTCAAAGCTTCTGCTCACGAGTGGCACACGTCACCTCCACTCATGGAAGTCCCATTGCCAAACCTAAAGTCAGCAGGGAGGGACAAACACTTATTCTAAGAAGAGTTATATTTCTGTGAACAGTGCATGTGTATTGGTTGCTAAAAATGTCTGCATATCTGGTCACTGAGGGACAATTTGGGGAAATAAAAAAGTAGTCTGAATAAGTCGAGAGGTGAATTGGTGAAGGGCCTTGCACGCTGAGGTCTGTAGCCATCGGTGGACTCACCAAAAAGTATTTTGCCACTAAAAGAAGGAGCTTGGTTTTGTGATAATGTTTTTAAATATTTGGTTTGATTCAACTTTTGACTTCTTTTCTCTCTTTGGTTGGCAGTGTCATCAGCAAAGTGGTGCCAGCCCCCGAGGCTAAGCCAGCTGCTTCTCTGAACAGACCCAAGACCCCACCGCCTGCCGCAGCCCCAGCCCCTGTCCCCGTGCACGTCACCCCTGCCCCGGTGCCTTTGCCACTGCTCGCACAGTCCACCGCGTCGCCCGCCTTGATGCCGGCTCCGTCGCCCGCCGTCTCGGGAGCCGGGAGTTCCAAAGCCCCCGTCCGGAGCGTGGTCACGGAGACCGTCAGCACTTACGTGGTGCGCTGCCTTTTATTTTTGTAGCATTGAAGGAAGAGTCACCTAAGAGCTTACTCTCTTATCACGAAAATCTTTTCAGTTAAGAAACAGTGTCATATGTATCAGTATTGAATTTCAGAGGCAATTCTTTAGGACTGGAAAGGTATTTTCATTGCATTTTCAGGCTTTTGGCTGAAAAGTATTGTATTATAGTGTTTGCATATTTAGTCTACATAAATAATGTCAAAGCATTGCTTTTCTTTCTTTTATATTATTTTTGGATATGACTATATACATATATACAACAATATCAATGTATAAATAGAAAGATGACTAGTGATATTTAAATCCCACATTGAATCTCTTGATCAAGCAATTAAATTATTCACTTGAGTATAATTTATGTAATGTACTGAGATCTGATGGGCCAGCTGCTGTTTCTGAGTAACAGCATTAATTATAGTATTTCATTGGCTGGGGTCCAGAATATACCAGAGCCTGCATGTTAAAGGGAAATGGACTTTCAGCCCACAGAGCCTCCTGAGTCTCCGAGCATGTCTTCAGATGGTAAAATTCATCTTGTGGAATGAGTTCACATTGTGCTCATGGGACTGTCTTCAGATGTTTCCCATACTTAATAGTATCAGGTCTTAGTCGCACCCTGAATTCAATCTAGTAATGAAGTATTTGTGTAAATATGTCCTTTGGGCACTGTAGAGTGACACACACACACACAACAAAAAGGTTTTAGGCATATAGAGGTACTCAGTGTACTAGCATTGCCACGACCACCGAGTACGCAGACCATAATCTGTCAGCCTAGGGATGGCACGGGTCTCTCTGAATAGATGTGTTTGGAAATGGCAGGGTAGGACTCATGGTATGTTATATTTATAACTCATGTTATAAATCATGCAAATATTACACCTCTTTCAAGGTGTTGTGGAAGGAAATTTCGACAAATCGTTAAACATTTGAGGCATATAATGATACAAAGGATAAGAAGAAAGTCTCAAGTATTGAGAGAAGATATAAGACATGAAGAATTAAGAGAAAAATATTAAATTCACAATTCAAGACAAAACTAGAATAGGTGATACAAAAATCAGTGATCATCAAATGGTCCATTCTAGGACCATTTGCTGTAGGTGTTTAATTGAGGCCACATCACCCCAAGATGGGTTGATGAGGACAGATTTTATACTTAACCTCCTCAACCTCCGTTTCTTCATCTGTAATTAAGGGGTCGTGTTAGATAGATGATTCCTATAAGATGTTCTAGCCCTGAAGTTTCTGATTCTCCAATGAATTTTTGAGCTAACTCCCTGATGGATCAGATTTGCATAGACAACATGGATGGAAAGCCTTGTGTCTCCCAAGAGACATTTTGTAGACAGGACAAAATGTGTGACTTGGAGGAAAGACATAGGCTATAGAACAACAAGGCTGATTTTGTCACCGCCCAATAGTGTGACTCTGGAACTGTCACTTACATTCCCTTCACTCCAGTGACCCCATTCTTAACCTATCCGAGGGTCGTGGTAGGAGGATTAAACGAAGTAAGACGTTTGGAATAACTTAGTAAATGTGAAGTGTTGGGTGTTAGTTATTATGGATGCTTTGGTAAATTTCTCTGTAGCAACAGAGTCACGGCCTTCTAATTTTGAGAAAGGTCAGCCAGCAGCAGGAGTGGCCATGCATGGCAGCTTCAGGGCATCGGATGCTGGGCTGGTCTGGACCCTAGACAGCTGGCATGTGGTGACTGTGGTTCTCTCCCCTTGAAATGAGAGAGGGCCAGGTCAGATGAGGCTGCCCACAGATTTCTTTAGGAAGCTTGCACGTCAACGTAGTTTGACTTTGAAGAGACTTTTTCAAAAATGGTAGGCCTTAAAAAGCCTTAAAAAGTAGAATGAAATAGTATCTATGCTCCCAGTACACCCATCACACACACAAAAAAGCCATTTCTTTTCTGCATGTCTAGTCACTGTTGTACTTGAAAGTATAGGAAGAGACTTGTAAAATAAATTGAATGAAATTATATGTGGTGGTGTTATAAAAACTTTTGAAAATTAGGTTTCAGTCGTTGCTGTTTTTGAATGCCCGTCTTAGATTGTTTCTTCTGGATGGGTCCTGTTAGCGTGGAATTTGAGGAAGTGGTACAATTGGGAGGGCTTCATATTAGGAACTGCTAAGTTAGGTGAAGCAAACTCCAGCGCTCACCACATTTGTAGCAAAATAACGTGAAAACGTGCAGCTCTGGGGCCTCCTGCCTCCCTTATGTCATTTGCCCTTTAGTTGATTGTACTTTACTGAAAATGTCATAAAGGGAATGGAAAGTTACTTAGTAACAACTCTTTTATATCCTTGATCTTATCAGCTCGTTCAGGAGAAGGGCTTGGCTAATAAGTAATAAGGTGATAGGCGCACATTTGGCTGTATGTATTAATTCCATGCCTATGAATGCAATTGAGGAAACTGCGTATACTTGTGCTCTGTGGCTTTCAAAAATATCACCTGTTACGGCCATGAAGACCCTAATCGTTAGGCACTTAAGTGTTTACAGTATTTTTCTAGATAAAGGGGGCTCTCGGTCATTAGGTCATATTGTTCACAGAAATGATTATAAAATGCTTTGTTTTTATGACTTACAAAAGAGCGTTTAAAATATTCATTAGAAGTGTCTCATCACTGAGCACGTGGTAGCTGTTTTCTTTTGCACGTGATGACCATGATCATGGCTTTAATAAATTGTTAACTACTATTTCTTTTGAGTTTAATTTGTTGGTTTCTTGGGTTCACAGTATAAAGTAACCGTTCTTATTCTACTGTCTTTTGGTTCTTTTCCCCGTTTCACGTCTGTTTGCTCCCTCCCCCTTTAAAAACCTCAGATCCGAGACGAGTGGGGGAACCAGATCTGGATCTGTCCCGGCTGTAACAAGCCTGACGATGGCAGCCCCATGATCGGTTGTGACGACTGCGACGACTGGTACCACTGGTGAGTGCCCCAGAACCCGACTGTGACGAGCAGGGGTCGCCCCTGAGGGAGATGCTCTCAGAGCAGACGAGGGACTGTGCTCCCTCTTGGGTTTTCTCCCAGTCCAACTGCTGTCCTAAGAACAGTGTGTGGAGCAAAATCACTGAGCCACTCAAATGGGCTTAGGATTATCTGCAAAAGTCAAGAGTCTTTGGACTCTTGTTATTTAGCCTAAACTCCAAATATTTGGCTTAGCTTATATATCCTCCTTATGAAAAAAAGGAATATCGGGGTTTCCCTTTCCTTTCTTTCCAGTAGTTTTCTGTGAGACTGTGGTGCTTGACAGTGACACTGAGTTAACCCCTTTGAACACGTCCCAAACTGCAGAGATAAAGAGACAGCTTGTCTGTTTTTCACACCTCTTCAGCAGCTCCCCAAAACCGAAGAAACTCGACCAAAATTTATGCAAATCATCTTCTCATTTTATCTTTACAATATCAGATATAAAAAGATAGAAATCCATTCAGTCACATGATATATAATAGCTATAAGATGAAAACAGAGCCATTGCTCGGAAGAATTATACTATTTCTGGCTGAAAGGATGAATGCCTAATTCATTTCTCCAGTAGGGCCTGTGCAAGGGGCCTTATGTAACGTACTAAATCCACATGGCCAACAGTCGTGCCACATAAATTACAGCTGTTGGGCTTGCATTCCTGGTCAGTATACCATCGACTTCAAGCTTATTTAATTATTTAAAATTATTTGAAAACATAGAAAAAGAATATGTATATAAATAAAGCTTGTTTATCCGAAACCCTTTTTTTCCCGGTGCAGGCCCTGTGTGGGAATAATGGCCGCACCGCCGGAAGAAATGCAGTGGTTCTGTCCCAAGTGTGCCAACAAGAAGAAGGACAAAAAGCACAAAAAGCGGAAGCACCGGGCACACTGACGGCTCTGCGGCCTGGACGGCGCGGTCGCCGCGGGCCCCGGTCCTGCGCCTCGGAGGGGAGCTGGTGCCAGCCCACCACCTCATCCCCACCAGGTTCCTGTGAGCACGGGTCTCGGAAGCCTGGGGCCCTCTGAGTGTTCCCTTCTGACACAGGCCAGCCGGGGCCGCATCGTCGTGTGACTGAGCAGACTTAAGTAGAGGCGAGCACTGGGACGGCCGTGCCTCCGTCTTCTATTACCAGTGACAAGTATTAATAAAAAGACCATAATCCTCCCCTTTGATTTTCTTGGTTCTCTCCAGGGCCTTTTCCTCGAGGTATTAGACGAGAAGATGACGTGTAACTGCCTTGACTGTGTGTAAGGATGGCACATTAGTCTGCGTACAGTGTCAGCCTCTTCCCTCCATAGTGAGATAATCATAATGACATGAGAGAAGGCTCCAGACGGAGTACTGGTAAATATTTTTGTGATGGAAATATATGAAGCTTCCCCTCCCCCATCGCCCATTTTTAGTACTAACATGTAAAATGTTCAGGCTTTTGTGAAATACCTTATATTTTTTAACAAAAAGTTTTCTATCATGTCCCGTTTGCTTTTGTGCAAATTATTTTTGTTGACGCGCGCGTGTTTTCCACTTGTGTTGCATTCTGACTCCGCCCTTCTCTAAACTGCTGGCGTTCTTCTCACCGCGTATACATTTCATCAACTTGTATAAAAACTCTTCAGAGTAGAAGACCTCCCCTCATGTAAATAATAAATATTTATGAAGTAGTTATTTTTTAAAATTTTATCGTGTTTCATTCTGGCTTTCTCTGGAATCCACTGTGATTTCAGCCATGTCTGTAATTACTGCTTTACGGAAGCAAAGAAGGCCGGAAAAAAGAGCCATAGTTCCCAGTCACCCACCTTGAGCTGAAGCTGCGTGGCGCCCAGAACACCGTGGGGAAAAGGACCCTGGCAGTTGGAAGGAAAACGAGGCAATTTAAATCTATAGTGTATGATTTGAAATTGTTTTGTTATCTATTTTGTTTCTGTACATGTCTTTGACTGACTTTTATTAAAAGGACATGTAGATTCCCCGAAAGTAAAAAAAAAATATATTGTAGCATTTTGTGTTTATATGGTTTTATTTCTGCAAATCTGTTCATTGATATTGTGGTTTAAGGCTGAAATGAAGTATATTATGAATTTTTTTTTTAAGAAAACGCATCAAATTTCAGGGTACCACAAAACTTTATTATATTACTATACTGCCCACTATTTATTATATGTTATAGATGTCTGAGAGATGAACCAAATATTTTATTTTTAATGTAAAACATCAAATTTAATTTTATTAGCATATTTTAGCAGCTTTGGAATAAATGTGGACTTTTACTTGATTTGGAAATAATTCCAGTTTGGGCCAGTGTAATGGGTATCTTGAATGCTAGAATATGGGCTTTGAACCTAATACAAATATATTAATAGAAATTGTGATTTTTTTAATGCCAAGTAAATTGATATTAGTGTATGAATTAGTCATATTTTAAAACATATTATGTGGTTAGAGAAATGAGGTTTTCTGCCATGAATGTTAAATTGCAAATCAGTGGAAATGGAGTCGACCTTTTAAGAGTGCAGTATTTCATCACCCTCCTTGTTCCAGAAGCCAAAATTTTTCTATCCCTACAAGAAACAAAGTATCTGTGTTGAGATACGTGTTTTTTGTTTTATTAATTTGAGATCATCCTAAATACTTTATACAGTATTTTCACATGCACAAATATACCCATTAGAGCTTTTTGGAGAGGGATGGGGGTGGGGAAGTGCAAAATAAAGACTATTGGCTATTTCATAGTTTGCTTTTCCATTTTTCTTTATTTAGGATTTAGTTCCTGGAGGCATGGTCAGTGGATCTAAAGTTGCCACGTTTAAGTGAGCGGTCATGCTCCTGAAATAAGAATGGAGGTGCCTATATATAACTTCCCCATCCTGCTGTCTGAGAGACTTCAGCCCACAGTACATTGAAGGAATTTCAATCAGTTTGTTGTCCCTTGCTATTTCATGGTTGCTTTCCTAAATCCAGTTCATGATTTTATAAATGGCCTTTGCAATAATAAAACCAAAGAATCATTTTCAGGGGTCTGGATAGCTCAAGGGATTAGTAATGGATACAGAGCCTTTCCCCTCTCCGTCAGTGAGTTGAATCCAGTCCAGGTCACTGGAGACCAAAGTTGTTCCCATCTTCTGACTGCTCAGTGGCCTGTGTGAAATGGACCGGTGGTCTCAGTCTCTACTGGATGGCTGTCGGTACACCAACCACAGGAAGTCCAAGAAACTGCAAAAAGAAATGTGGATTCAAAAATAAAACACCTATGTTACAAAGCAAAGTGAGAAAGTTGGGCAGAGTCATTCTCCATAAAGTAATACCGAAGGAAAAAAGAGTTAACTTACAAATGCCACAGACCTTACACAGAGAATAGAGATTAATTCACTTTTGTTAACAAAGTCAAACAAAGTGGGAAAAGACGAGAGGGGAGAGGGATACATCGGGAAAGATGATTTAATCAGGAGGAGAACTTGAGGGGGCCCAAGTAATAAGAAGAAAATGGGTTTTGACTTGAGGGAGAAGGAAATCACAGAGGAGGAGGAATTTGAGGAGCTACTGTGACCGAGAAAATGCGATGCAAAGGAATGGAAGGTATTTCCCTCTGGAGAGTTAGAAGTCCTCCGCTTGTCAGGAAACTCGGGGACCGTTTACATTTGCGCCAGCGCATTCATCTGACCTTAGCATCGATACTTTATACAGAGAAGTCAGGAAAAAAAATGGTCCTGGCTAGTGATTTCATTGGAGGAGAAGGTATTTAAGAAACAGACACCCTCCTCACTCCCAGGAAACAGAAACTCTTCTGATGAGATAATCTGCCTTCAGAGCCCTGTGTAGCTGGCAAAGTGTAATTTCTATGACTGACACTGTGTTCTCTTCTGAAGGTGTCTGCAGTTAAGTACAGAGAGCATCCTTATCCTGCAGCTGATTTGGGGTTCCAGATGTCCTGAAGAAAATCAGAGGGTATCAGAGCTTCTGGCTCGGTCAGGCTTTTTTCAGAGATAAAACACAGTGCATTACTCTCCTGTGTCACCTAAACGCCTTTATTCTCCTCTCAATAGGAGAATTAAACAAAGACCTACTAAACAAATTAAAGTATAAAATGAACACTGAGATAGGGAAACCTGCCAGGAAGAATGCTAATGAATGAAGTTCACTGAAGGCATGCTGGCTAAGTTTTCAAATAGTTTGATGGCCAGTCTCTTTAGATCATAGCAGCTTTCTTTAGAAGTTTAAATCTAAAGGTAGATAAGTGACCCTGACTGAAGAATGAAACAGATAACGTTCTGAATAACGTCTCTTTCCACAACGGGATCAGTCGTTCTGTTAGGAAACAATTCTTTGAGAATCTGGCATTAGTTGTAGCCCATAAAGTATGAATCTCTGCCTGCAAGCCAGTAGATGACACTGGAAATGAGATATTTAGACGGACAGCTGAACAGTTTATTCTCAATATCATTTATGCATTATATCTGGTTCACATATGAGTTACTGAAACAACTGCTAGTTGTCTTTTTCATCCCAGACAACTCAGTTTTTAGTTTAGTTTGTAAAAGAACAGTTGTAAACACTGTGATTCGCTCATTCAACATCTGCTGGGCACATTTCATGGAAATGGCAAAAATATATCAGACCCAAGTTCAGTTTTTCCCGGAGTCACTTCTGGGGTGCTCTATTTTCTCTGTGGCTTTGCAGCTGTTTCCACAATACACCATGTATTTCATCAGATCCTAAGCTTCTCCCATCCTCGTTCTTTTCCCCTTGTCCTATCCATAATCTCTCTATCCACCTTAGACTGCAGGTGGTTTGTAATGTTGATAGAGCTGTACGCTCTGAAATGTTTATATTTACAACAAAATATTTAAAAGCTTAGCAAGTGGTTACATTACCTATCCTTAGGAACTAGCAGAGTTGACATGAGATATGTGTATATACACACATAGACATATATACACCACAAGACTTAAACGTGTTGGGCTTTTAGAACAGAAGCATACTTTGGGTACTTTGCCCTGAGCAATAATTTCCTACTCTATCCTTGCAACCTGGTCCGTATTTTGTTCACCTTTTGAGGTTTTGTGGGGTGTTTTTTGTTTTTTTTTGGTGTGGTCTTGTTTTAGATTAGTGAAGCAATCACTAATAGAATGGGACTATCTTAAGCAAAACAGCACAAACCTGAAGAATGTCAGTGTTACTCTCCTTAATGAGCTAACTATGGCCAAGTGAAGAAAAAGTCTGTGCTGCTTCTAATTAACTCATTTGGACCTATAGAAGTACTTAGAAGAGGGAGTTCAAATCGTCCAAAACTATTACCAGGTTATATTCTGATTAATTCTTCTTATATATTGTTTGCAATGTTGATTAAACCTTTTTTGCTAGCTTTTAGAAAGTGAATTCTCTGTAAGTGGATTTCTAAATAACCAATTCCTCGTCTTTCCTTCATTCTATTAATTTTGAGGTGGCTGTTTACAACATTCACAAAAACAAATAGGCCCAGAATGTCCTGCACTTAGCCATATCCATACCTCTCTCAAAAAAAATCATTAGTCATCTCTCTAGGCAAGATACATCATGCATGGTGGGGATGCAGAGGAGATGAGCCAGGTCCCCGGTGTTGTAGAAAGCTCCAACAGGTAATTTCGTTAGGAACATAGTACCCACCTCAAAAATGGATCCAAGCCAGGGGCCAGCCTGGTGGCGTAGTGGTTAAGTTCACGTGCTCTGCTTCCGCAGCCCGGGGTTCGCAGGTTCTAATCCCAGGCACGGACCTATGCACTGCTCATCAAGCCATGCTGTGGCAGCGTCCCACATATAAAATAGAGGAAAATGGGCACAGATGTTAGCTCAGGGCCAATCTTCCTCAGCAAAAAGGAGGATTGACAACAGGTGCTAGTTCAGGGCTAATCTTCCTCACCAAAAAAATGGATCCAAGCCAGAAG